TTTTTTTTTTTTTTTTTTTTCCCTTCCTCTTTGGATATCTCAGGGAGCAAAAATTGGTGATCTATCTGTAACAATTGCTCTGGTTGAGAATTATCATCTTCCACCAGAAGCAATGTCATCAATCCTGGTAATTCTGCCTTGTTTATCATTATCAAATGTCTTGTGTGTATGCATTGTCGATGCTCGAGTTTATGCACGTAAGCGAATTACGTGTTTTGGTCATTGCGAGTTCTTGAAATCATTTGGTTCAAAATTCTTCATGCTATTATCAGCTTCTTCAGCTGTTTGAAAAGGTTTTGAATTCTTGAGGATCTTAGTGAAATCAAGTAGCTGTTTTTGTCTAGAAAGAGGGATTTCAGACTACTTACACTTTCTTAAATGTAATGATCTTTTGAAGGATAAAAGGCAAACTGTTACTGGGAATGCTCCGAATCAGGCAGAAGACGTCGTAAGTACAATGCTTGCTAAGGGCTTCATCTTGGGGAAGGATGCTGTCAACAAGGCAAAAGCGTTCGATGAACGGCACCAGTTGACATCGAATGCTTCTGCGACTGTCACGTCCATAGATCGCAAGATGGGCATAACAGAGAAGATAACTGCAGGCACAGCAGTAGTAAATGAAAAGGTCAGGGAGATGGATGAAAAGTTCCAGGTTTCTGAAAAGACGAAATCCGCTCTCGCAGTGGCCGAGCAGAAGGCAAGCAGTGCAGGAACTGCGCTCATGAGTAACTATTATGTGTTTACTGGAGCAGCATGGTTTTCAAATGCAGTAACTGCTGTTACAAAGGCTGCTGAGGAAGTGACTCAGATGACCAAGGCAAAAGTCGAGAAAGCCGAGGAGGAGAAAAAGGAGAGTATATACCGCGAAAGAACTGGGATCATCAACAACTTCGCCGAGCTCCATCTCGACGAGCCATTACCAGGGGAGCCTGCTATTGTTCCAGTTAATTCAGCTGATAGATAAACAGTAAGTTGTGCATCATATTCATGAAAGCAGAAATCCTACACTTGTGAATTACTTTGCTTACCCATTTTGCTGTATGATATACATTTCATCTAGATGTTGAAATGTTGCGACATTTTTTTGAGTACAAAAAAATTACTTTTTGGATGCTTGATTGTATACCGTTTCACTTAACTAATGTAATTTGTAATTTACAAATATAGATTATTGTCTCGTTTTCTTTTACCGTTTCTTTTGATTTTAGGGTAATATGAATTGGCATATTTGCAAACGTAGAACATAAATTGATTTGTGAAGAATATCACTACTTTTGTTGTCTATTTCATCTCATCCCAGATTTTTCTGTAATAAGCAATAAGCCAACTAAAGCTTCTAAAACACAAACAAACCTAATAAGATGGCAAAACTAGTAGAGTTTAAGTATGCTTAGCAGTGACATCTAAACTTGATCGTAATCATTTACATTTTAACGCCAATCACTTGGGTATTAAAAATCTCATCGTACCGAGTCATATCTCTGAGTATCAAATGCATACAAGTTGTAATTCAACACTAAATACAAACGATACTGATGAATTATTGAAGCATGTAGATGAAATTCAAATGCTAATTGGTATAAACTTGAGTAGGTCTTAATATGATTCTCGTATAAAAATTTGAGAAAAACTTATCGGACCTTTAGGCCAAAGAGGATTTTTGGCAATCCATCATATACTTTTCATTCTATTGGTGAAAGAATAGAATCGAATGTCTTACCGATAGCCAGGTCAGGGAGAGATGCTGACCCTCACTAGCTGTTCAGGTTGGTATTAGTGGTCAGGAAGGAAGATTTAATTTCTGTTAGGATATGATGCTTGCATCATACAAACTTCAATAGCCACTCCAAACTCTGTTAAATTTAATACAGCATCAGAAACTTTTGCTCATGTTGACTTAAAAGTGAATCCATGGAATCAAGTTCAATGCAATGATATAGTTTTTTTAAAAAAAGTTTTTGCAAATCCTGTCTAGTTGACTGTTTATACCTCGATACATTCGGGAAGATCATCACTTTCTGTTCTGACATGCGTCTGCAAAACCACAAAATGCACCAAATATTATGAGATAGATGCATAGAGTCTAATAAAAGGGTCCTTTCCATTATTCTAGAACTCGAGAAAAATTGCAAAGTAGTAATTCTCGAAAGATTTCCAAAACAAAACTGTGATAGTTTTGTCAATGTGATCAATAGGTTTGTGAGTTCAGAACACACAAAATGAATAAGAAAATAAATTATTTTTAAAAAGAACCATATGTACCTTTGACCAAAAAGAGTGGATTCAATATACTTTCAATTTTGTTCAGAAAAGGGAAAAAAAAATATGGAGTTTTTCAAGAACCAGATTCACTAGGACGAGATATTCTTCAAGCCAGTATGAAATATGCACGAGATTAACAGCAGAAATTTTACCGACATAAATTTAATATGCATTCGAAACAAATATGAAAATTTTAAATATGTACTAGTTGGATGTAGATTATGCTGTTTTTGTAAAAATTTAAATTTTCTACTTCTAGATTTGAAAACAAATACTTGTATTATTATTCTATTAGGTATATAAATAGATAAAGTGAATTTCTCTAGCAGGTATTTGAATTTTAACCTCGATGACTCGTTGATTTGGTAAATCTTGTGTTTCTCCGAAGGATGCCAGGAGGACAACCGCAGCTGCAATAGTTGAAGGGAAATAACAAAATTGGACTTGATCTGAAAGAACGAGCACTGCGAAGTTCTTAGCTCGATTCTCCAAATCTGAGTCCGCTCCAGCAGCTTTCAGGTAGAACCTAATATTATTTTCAAACACCCATTATCAAAATGCGATATTAGAGTATGTTATTCGCAGTGGATTCAAATTGTAAGTGGGCGGAAGGAGAAAGAATGTCCCATAAATTGTTAAGTTAGTCGAAGGAAGATGTACCCCAAGAAGTTGTAAACAGTTGGCAGGAAACACTGGAACTTTAGGACTTCTTGAACAAGCCATTCCATGCCAACAACTTCAGATCTTCTATAGGTGTTGTCCCCTACATGGATGCTCCTTTGCTGCATCCTGAAATGCCGAAAATAAAACCGATCAATATGCTATAGCTTTTTCAATATATCCACCAAGCTCGAGACCCACTGGCTTGGATACCTTCTCAATTCTCAAGGCTCTATTTAATGAAACAGGCGATAAATTTAACATTTTGCATGTGAAGTACTAGTCAAAGATAAATGAAGACCTGATAAAAGCAAGTTTGAAGAAAGAAAATAGAAGAAAAGAATTGCTACAAAGCTGATTCACATTTGACTCGGCTCGGCTTAGAGCTCAGATCAGCATTTTATTGTCTGCGGTCTGACCATGTGATTGAAGTGTTTCACTATAAAATGTTTCCCTGTTGGGTCGGGTCTCTTCTGTGCACGAGTTGTTAACTTGAGAACTATAAGATACTAGTATTGCAATCTTGGATGGGTGGTGTGTATCGTCATTAGTAAATGGCTATTATTTGTTACATAGCGGCTGAAAAAGAACCTACAATATAATCACAATGTGACAACATTATTTTGTCCATGTGAACGCAAAGCTATCGGACCCGGAAATTTGAACTTAAGGAGGACATTCAAGACTATTAGATTCAATTACTTTACACTCTAGTACTAATTATCACACGACCTCAACTTACTCAATTTTACACTCGTAGATCTACAAAAGAAGACAAACACGCATACAGTTTGTTTCCAACCAATATTCATAAAAAAATAGACTAACGAAGTTAAAAACTTATAGTATATAGCAACTACACTTGTTAAAGTTAAAACTGAGATGCACACAAATAAACAAAGAAAAAGAAATTACCAGCTGTATGATTGATTTTCTTCAATTCTAGTGGCCAAAGTTAGACATGCTACGCCCAGAATTTGAAGGTGTCTTCCAGCTTTGAAGAATCCTTTGCTCAGAATCTGGTCGAGAAGGGTTACTCCTAAAAATGTCGTCTCCTGATGAAGTTTGGTATCTCTCGATCGCTACATCATTCAACAAAATAAAGCTACATAATGAAAAAAGTTTGACGAAATGATTGATGACAAGTCGACAAGTCCTAAGCATGAAAAGGAATTAAAAAATTATAAAGAATGCATTTCGTGGACTGGAACAGTTGATATGAAACTAAAGGATTCCTGAGAAAATCTCAACTTTCCCGTCCATGAACACAAATCTCGCTGCTACGAATATGCAAAATATTATCAAGATAAAAATAAACTGATAATGTAACCAAGCAGAAGTAAGAAATGAAATGAAAAATGGGCTAGACGCTGCGCAGTCCGTCAAACTTGACTGATTCTAGGCGCCAAAAGCGTTGGACGCGCGGCAAGCCTCATTCGTTAGAAAGTGCTTATTATAACTTGACGGTTCAACTATTTAACAGGAGCAAAATCATGAACAACTGGCTTTAAGTAGTGAAATATTATAGTACTTAGTAATTTTCACTGATAAATTACAGTTACGTTTAAACCAAAGAGGCGATAGGATTTGCATACATAAAAATACATTAGATGGTAGCAGTGAATATTGTGCCAATACCAGAAAAGTGCATTGTTGGATTAAGTTTCATATCAAATGAGGCAGAGAACTAATTTGATGACCTGTTAAGAATTAATTAGTCATTCAGTTGACACTGAAATATGACAGTGCCTCAAACGTACCTCTGTACAGTTACCAATGTCTCAGATTAGCAAGCTATTAACTTTTAAAATGGAATTTCTGTGCAATATCTTATGCTAATTAACGAATTATTGAGAGAAATGCGGTGGTTTCTAGTTCAAGGACTTACTTCAACTATCCATTGAACCATATTTGATCGTTGCTGGAGGATGAGATCGCCATAATCCGTCGTGGACCGGTACTCATCAACGTAGTCGCGAATAATCAATTGGCGTCTTTCTCTGTTTCTGAATATTTGATAGGTTTCTTCATCGTCCAATCCTTCCAATCTCAAAAACTAATTTTAAATAAATAAAAAAAATATGTAAGTTGTTTGATTAGCTGCAGGTTTGTTACCAATGAAACGCTAAGGAAGCATGAAATTGAAGTATTACCAAAGATTGATCTGCGTTCTCTTCTTCAATTGACGAGCTAGTTCTGATGTCTTCAGAGGCACACGATCTTAAAAAATCGCTTCTGAACTGCAGTAACATGCTAAATGCTGATGAAGGAGCTGCATCATCGTTTGATTTCTCTGAAAACTCGCTTCCGGATTCCAAGAAATTTGAAGGAGTGTAATCTGAGCAGTCCGTATCAGAAATCCCCATTAGAATAGTTGACTGAAGCTCGCGCAAGTCCTGGCTAGAGTATTCCGAAACGTCCTCGTAAGATAATTGCTCCGTGCAAGCAAGATCCGATTCAAACTTCAAGTTGTTAGGCCACTGTTCTATTGTCGAATCCGACTTCGAAATAGTGAAAGTTTCATTGACCTGATTCCTCGGTATCTCCGGTACCTGAAATTCCCACACTCTGTTCTCCTCAACCTCTAATCCTTTCTCTTCGAACGAACAGACGCTCTCGAAGATAGATTCAGCCCAAGACTCTACACAAGGAGAGAGTGGCACAGCTCCCTTTCCACAAAGCTTCGACGAGACATCAGCATCAGTCAGTTCGAACTTCAGAGCTCCATTTTCTGCTTGATCGGCTTGATCTTCATTTTCCTCTACGGTTCTCCTAAAACCACTCCTAATCTTCAACTTCGAGCTACTCCTTCCGAGAACAACAAAATCAACTCCAGAATTCGACTCCACGCAAGACGATTCAGAAACTTCGACGTTAGCCTCATTCCTTCCCTTCTTAACCTCACAATCCTCGTTAAAGCAATCTCTCGCTACTCCATTGGAAGCAGGATCCAAATTCACTTCAATAAACTCGGCACTCGAACCAAATCGCGTCTTCCGCAAATTCGTCCTCGCATTCACAGCACCACGCTCCAATTCAAAAACCGCATTGAGTTGACTAGAAACCTCACCTCCTCCTCCTCCCTGGAAGGAACCGCAGCTGGACTCAGCCGCAGCAACGGAAGAAGAAACAAGACCAACACTCGTACACGGAGCAGCCGAATCCGACTCCGGCAAGCAGAAAACAGGAGAAATCCGAGCGCGTCTCCGGCGAGGAAGCTGAGAACGAAGCTTCTTCTTGGGAGGACACTCCGATTGCGGTTTCGGCTTCGACCTTCGCTTCTTGGATTTCATCGCAAGGAGAAGGAGGCGGAGGCTATGCAGATGAGTTTGGTGATAGAAGCAGTTATGGAAGTTGTGAATTGGAATTTGGAAGTGAGTTAATGGAGTTCTGAGAGGCTCTTTAGTAATTATGTACAACACAAGTCTTTCTTCATGTGTATTCTGTTAGGAAGTCTGGCGTGTTTAGGATTTGAAGATGAGTGGGAGTACTTGATCTTGGTTATTAATTCATTATTAATTTCCAAATATTTTATTTATATTAGCTTCATTTTGAATATTTGGATACTAGTTTGTTATTAATCATATGATTGTTCTATATTATCTCAACACCATATCTACATCAATTAATTTATGATTTATTACTTAAATATCAATATAATGTATGTATATCATTTATACATTTGTTTCTATATTCAAATTAATTTGTGAGTTAAACTCTATTGAATGATTTAGACCAACAAAATGATAAATAACTAAATATTATTACACACAAAATTTTCGAATGATCTTGACAATTGTACTCTTGTGGCAGTAAAACAATGATTGTACGATACTTGTTCTAACTTGATGAATAACTCAGCTGCATAAAAATTGTAAGTCATGGACAATTCAGATGTATAATCGAACATCGGGCACATTTGAGAGAGTATTTTGGAAAACGTGAGGGAGGAAATGCTTTGAAAACAATTGGTAAGAAAGCAATGTTATGGGCTCAAAGCAAATGAGCAACAAAACAACCACAATTTTGATAGCACCCAGATATAAGGAATTGACGACGAGTCATATCCTCCATAGTACATTTTAGGGCATTTTAGTCTATTGGGTGTAAACATAATTTTGGTGAACAGTCGTGCACTGTCGTATTGACACAACATGAATAGTAAAAGTCTAGTTATACATGAAAGCAAGTAAAAGAGACTTTGAAACAGGACCACACGTCCTGGATAAACATGACTAAGATATTTGACACCCGACCATAGGCAACACATCTTGGACAAAAATGATCGTAACACAATTGGTCCGGTATGAGAATGAGAGGTGGAATTTGAACCAACAAAAATGAGCGTACTAAAATGTTTGCATTAAAAAAATATTTAGATAATGATTACTTGTAAAATTAATATTTCAATATCTCTAATTAAATCTTATTGTTTATAAAAAAAATTATGGAAAAAAATTGATATTTCCTTTATCCACATAAAAACGTTTATTTCAAGTCATAAATATATGAGTTGTTTAAAATATGTTTATTTAATTTTAAAATAAAAAAAAAAAAGAAAAAAAAGAAAACAGGATGAGATCAAAGATAATATAAAAAGAAGATAAGATTATATATTAGATTATTGATTGTTCGAAATACCTCTTGAATTTTCCTCATAAAATATATTTATTTAATTTTTTTTAATATTATGTAATATATTCTAAGAAAATAGGCACTTGAAGGCTTATCCTTTGTAAATAAAAGAAAATGAACATTTATATAAGAAGTCCGATATAGCCTTGTAGACTACAATGGGCCTATCACAATCTCAGTCATCGGCCCAATTATACTACAATGGGCCTAGCACAATCTCAGTCATCGGGCCAATTATACTACAATGGGCCTAGCACAATCTCAGTCATCAGCCCAAGTTTGAAAGTCCATTATTGTAAGGGATAAAAATGTAATTCCAAACTCCAATTCAAAATCCAGGCCTATATTAAAATTGTTGCATTTTAAGAAGCTTAGGGATAAGACGAATAAATTAATATTATTAAGGCATATAAAAATGATTGAATCAAAGCAATTAATCCGTATATAACCTTTTATTAATTAGAGCTCCTTGGGTTCCATTTAGGGGAACATCAATCATATCCCTTCATATGCAATGCTTAAAACTAAAATCATTCTCGAAACTTAGGGATAAACTAATTTTGCATATGAATTATAAATCTTTTCAATTAATATATGCATTCGTTTGTCTCAATTATTGTCGCTATTATTTAAAAATAAAAAATAGGGTTGTTAATGAGTAAATCAACGACGAGGATGATGCCACGTAAGGACTGAGCAGCATAATAACCATGGAGTGGCAGCACAGACAATTGCAACTTATTTAATCCAAAAACCTTATCCGGTTTAGTTGAGAAACGTGGTGCTGCCCGCTGGTTTTTTGGTTTATTTTCACTCCCATTTCTTCGTTATCCATTTTGCTGCATCGCTATCATAATTTTTATTTATTTATTTTCTCTCATGCGAAATTTAAAAATAAAATAAAATTAAAAATAATAGCTAAACTGAGAAGAGCGTGCCAGGTGTACCATCCTGTGCTTCGTGCTTATCCACGTCAGAAAACAAGACCCCAGTTTACGCATTAGATGGATTAAGTACATTATCCATGTTTTCAATTTATCCTCTTACTTGTAGAGCCCCCCCCCCACTGGGCTTACGTGGCATTTTCGGTCAATGTGACGTCCAGCTGGAGTCAGATGGGTGTGGCTGGCTGTTCCCAATCTCCGATGTACCCCTTTTTTTCTTTTTATTTGAATTTAAATTTTAAATAATTTACCCCCCGGTATTATTTTTTTAACCCCATCCATGTGACCCATATGAAAGGACCATCTCACGCCGGAGGAACGGAATGGCTTTATTTTATTTAATCCATAAAGTTTTGAGATATTGTAATTAATTATCTTATTACTATGCCACGTCAAATCATCACCCCTTGATATTATTTGTTTGGTTGCTCTATGCGTATAAGAATGTGATTTATTTGGAAATGTTAAATACATAGGTTGATTTTATAAAATATCCATAAATACTTATTTATTTTCTTTTTTATATATTAAAATTATTATAAATATAACAATATAAAAAACAATTACAAAGTTTAGTATTTTCTAAAAAAAATATTAACCACTTATTAACTCATTGACTCATCCTATGATTAGTATATTTTATTTTATCTAATCACAATGGTCGGGCATAAAAAATAATTTAGTAATCACTAATTAAATATATTATCAACTTTTTGTTATTAAAAAAAAATTGTTTGGACAGTATGTAATTTTAAAAAGGTTATTTAATAAATAAATAAAAATTTCACATATATAAACCAATTCATTCCAGGCGTGTTTCATTATAAAACAATAATATCACGCCGCGTTTAAAAAATATTAAAAAGTTACGTTAATACATTTCTTAACTTTTTTTTTAAGTTAAAATATAAAATTTTAAATATTACATTCATTCTTTACTTTTATTATATATAAAAAAATCAAAACAATTCTTACCGTAACGAAAATTATCTATTATTTACGACTTTTTTTTTACGTGAGAGGAGAGTATTTTTTATAATATTATAAAATAATAATTAATAGAAAATTTATAATATAAAACTGCCTCTGGTGCAACGCTCTTAAATAATTACTAGAAGGGAAAAAAGGGCTTCCAAGTGGGCCCTACTCACCAGTTCAATGCTCGTGGCATTGGCAACAATAACAATGGCAATAGCGGACTCACCAACGGAGCAAAAAAAAAAAAAAAAAAAAAAAAAAAAAAAA